TTAGATTAAAAGGTAAGCTCTAGGGGCACCTGGTTGGCTCAGTCAGTAGAGCATGTGACTTTTCTTTTTTAAGATTTTATTTATTTATTTGAGAGAGAGGGAGGGAGCACTAGCTGGGGAGGGACAGAGGAAGAGGGGGAGGGACAAGTAGACTCCCCGCTGAGCCTGGAGCCCTAACAAGGGGCTTGATCTCACGACCCTGAGATCATGACTTGACTGAGCCACCCAAGTGTCCCTAAAATTAGTTTTTAAAAAGTATTTGTAAGCAAAGGTTAGAAAAGCATTATCAAAATGATGACAGAGGTAATGTTGGAGGGATTATAGATGAGGATTTTTCTTTATTAATACCTAATAGTTTTATTTAATGGATCATTTTCTTTTCTTTTTTTTTTTTTCATTTACCAGGTCGCAGAACCTTAGCTGTAATCACTAAACTTGACCTCATGGATGCGGGTACTGATGCCATGGATGTATTGATGGGAAGGGTTATACCAGTCAAACTTGGAATAATTGGAGTAGTTAACAGGTTAGCAATCAAGAATGGGATAAGAATTGCAGCATTCCCATTTCAAAGCAGATATGAAATTTTTTTTTCTTTTTTTAAGATTTTATTTATTGGGGCGCCTGGGTGGCTCAGTTGTTAAGCGTCTGCCTTCGGCCCAGGTCATGATCCGGGGGTCCTGGGATCGAGCCCCGCCTCGTGCTCCCTGCTCAGCGGGGAGCCTGCTTCTCCCTCTCCCACTCCCCCTGCTTGTGTTCCCTCTCTCGCTGTGTCTCTCTCTGTCAAATAAATAAATAAAATCTTTTAAAAAAATTTTGTTAAAAAAAAAAAGATTTTACTTATTTGAGAGAGACACAGCGAGAGAGGGAACACAAGCAGGGGGAGTGGGAGAGGGAGAAGCAGGCTCCCCGCTGAGCAGGGAGCACGAGGCGGGGCTCGATCCCAGGACCCCCGGATCATGACCTGGGCCGAAGGCAGACGCTTAACAACTGAGCCACCCAGGCGCCCCCAGATCTGAAATTTTAAAAGCAGCCTAAAATGTGAGATTATCCCTCTTTTCCCCTTTTACCATAAGCTTGGTATTGCTAGGAATTCATTGCTCTAAAGGAAGAAAACAGATTCATTAAAGCCTCCTGTGGGCATTTGTAATGGAAAGTGTTTTTAAAGTAAGTAGTCCATAAAATGGAAGAAAATTTCATAGCCAGGCTTGAAAAATTTCTGCTTTTATGTTATATATGAGGGGTGCACTGGATAAGAAAAAAAACAAACGTATTTTTTACTTTGCATGCAATCAAGAAAAAGTTTGTTAATAAGCTAGTAGGATTTAAATAAATTGGTTTAACACCTCTGGCATTAGTGATCCTTTGTAATTGCCAGGATGGGACTTGGAGTGATTTTATTAAAGATATCCTAATTATAAATAGCTGGTATCAAAAGTTGTAGAAAGGAAACTACTATGTTTTAGACCCTCTCCTGTGAGCAGTTTGCAAATGGTATCTCTTTGAACCCTTACAACATCTCTGTGAGGTAGGGGTTGATGTTTTTTTTTATAATCAGAAGACTCAAGTTGTACATCTACCAAAGTCACATGGTGAAAGCAGATTTCAGATGAAGATCTCTCTTAGTCCAAAGACTTTATAAAGTAGGAAGCACTGAAATTAACAGGAGATCTGGGTTCTACTCCTAGTTTGTCCATAAACTAGATATATAATGTGGATTTAAATGACACCTAACATCTTTGGGTCTCAGGCCTTTTCTAAATGAAAATGTTTTTACTAAGTGATACTGAAGATCCTTTACAGTTGTCTGCTTTATTCGTATGTCCTACCTCACCCATACTTCAGCTTTTTTTTTTTTTTAATCCCCCCTTCTCTTTTCATGGTATAAAACTGTTGCATTTGTAAATGACTGCTCTTTAATTATTTTTGGTAGAAATTAGTTGTCTGTATATGGATAAAATATACAGCTGGTTATCATATTTATACTTTTTTTTCCACCTGTCTGTCCCTGTTACTTCAGAGTACTGCTTTTGACAAGAGTTAATGGTAACAATGAGGCCTAAACTATTCAGGTATTACAAGTCACAGACTGAATCTTGGCGGAAGTGCTTAACATGTGACCTTGGGTAGGTTAATGTCCCTGAACCTTGGTTCCTTTGCTATAAAATGGGCTAATACCTACTGCCTAGAATTATTGCACGAATTCGATAGCACAGTCCATATCGGGCATTACTACAGTGTCTGGTGCTACCATCAGTCATCTAAGGAATGTAGAGGACACAGCTGACTTTCAATTAAACAATTTGTTATTTTCCAACCTTAGGAGCCAGCTCGATATTAACAATAAGAAGAGTGTAACTGACTCAATCCGTGATGAATATGCTTTCCTTCAAAAGAAATACCCATCTCTGGCTAATAGAAATGGAACAAAGTATCTTGCTAGGACTCTAAACAGGTAACACTTTTCAGGTCCCTTTGGTTGGCCAATGAGAGTCTGAGAGCTCTCATTTTTAGTTCCTTACATTTTCATAACATTCTTGTGTGTACAGTTTCAGGTTTTGTTACTTGTACAGTATGTTCGTATAATGTAGATGTCTTTTTTTAATTCAGGTGGTTGGCGTTAAATTAGTCTAGGAATGCTCAAGGGAATTTTTAAAATGCCTTAATTATGAAGTTCTCGACAGTCAATTTACTTTTGGTAATAGAACTAGGTAGCAGATGACTTAATTTCCACTTGGGATTTCAGGACCCAAACTAAAATAATTTTCACATAATCGATTCTTATTTTAGGATGTCTTCTATTCTTATTCATAAAAAGAATTTAAAGTATATACCTTGAATCCTTAATACCCACTGATGGTAGAGGGACTGGAAAACCTTTCTAGATAATTAAATGACTGAAATGAAAGCTGTTTTCTCTTACCTTTGTCTTATTCCCTAAATAATTTAAAGGCTGATGGACTTGGATCTTAATAAGATTGATTTTCACTGTGCTAAGTACTCATTGTAAAAGATAAGTCACAAATCAAATTTTTTTCAATTTATATTTGATTCACTAGCAAATGCTATAGTTTGATGGGTTGAAGGCAAATTTAAAAAGTGTTGACCAAGTTGTCTTTGTTCATGTCATTTTTTCAGTAAATAAGCCTTTACTGCTAGCCCAAGAATTGCATTATTTCCTGCCAGGACAAATTATTTGACAGCTTTTACCATTATTGGCATTTTAAAAATTTGACTTATTTGGGTCTTCAAAATACAGTTTTACTTTAAATCTTTTCTTGTAACCTTTATTAGGTTACTGATGCATCACATCAGAGATTGCTTACCAGAGTTGAAAACAAGAATAAATGTTCTAGCTGCTCAGTATCAGTCTCTCCTAAATAGCTATGGTGAACCTGTGGATGATAAAAGTGCTACTTTACTCCAACTTATTACCAAATTTGCCACAGAATATTGTAACACTATTGAAGGAACTGCAAAATATATTGAAACTTCAGAGCTGTAAGTAAAAAATTTCTCTATGGATTTGGTTACTTGAATTGCTGGGTTGCTTTAGCTTTTGTAACAGTGACTTTACCTCTGAGATTTTCTGATTGTGATTTATTATCTGCAGAATAGTATTTTGCAGAAATAATGATGATGTCTGATGTACGTGTATAGGTAAAGCACAGTAAAAATTTCCGTTTTTTTTAAACAAGACTTTGAGAAGTATTTAAAAATATTTGGTAGTTTAACTTTTTAAATGTTTGTTTCTTTAATAGACACACTATAGTTTTTCATGAAAAAAAAAAAAAGAAGAAAATGCAGATAAAAAGAATAGGAGGACAAAATTACTTAATTCCACCATCCAGAAATAGTCCCTGCTAATTTTGGCATGAACCTAGACATTTTTCTATGCATCTGTAAAACATTATAAATGTATTTCAAAAATCAGATCAAAATACTGTCATGCTATTTTGGAATCATTTCTTTAAATCACCGTGTCACAAACAACTAATATTAATTACAGATTTCTATAATCAATCTTAAAAATTTACATGGCATTTTACTTTTTAGGTACACTCTCTTTTCTTGAACCAGTACTCTACTACTGGTAGATCGTTTTTATTCCTACACATACATAAACAGTGTTGTGATGGACTATTTTGGGGGCATGTATCAGAGTAAACACTTAGGCGAAATTCCTAGAATGGAATTACTGTGTCACAGGGTAGGAACATCCTAACAATCTCTTACTGTTGTCGTACTGTTAGTAGATTGTATTGTTTTACTACTAGCAGTATATAAGAATGTTCATTTCTCTGAACTCTCATTTAAAAAAAATCTTTTAATTTTGAAGTAATTATAGACTTCCAGGAAGTTGCAAATAAATGTACCTTCCTAGGTCCTGTTAATCCTTAACCCCATCTTCCCCAGTGTTGACATTTTGCATAACTATAGTACAGTAACAGAATGAGAAAATGGACACTGGTACAACCCAGAGCATATTCAGATTTCACCACTTGTGAAATTATACATGCATTTGTGTGAATTTTCTGTGTGCTTTTGTGTGACCCAGGTGGCCTTTTATGTGAGTTAACTCCATAAAGACAGTATTGAACTAATTGGTGAATGGTTATTTTATACACACACACACACACACACACACACGGCAATATTGAGGGAAATAAAGATTACTAAGATGAACCTTTAAGAAGCTTATTGGGTGGGCGCCTGGGTGGCTCAATTGGTTAAGCGACTGCCTTTCGTTAATTGGTTAAGCGACTGCCTTCGGCTCAGGTCATGATCCTGGAGTCCCGGGATCGAGTCCCACGTCGCGCTCCCTGCTCAGCAGGGAGTCTGCTTCTCCCTCTGACCCTCCCCCCTCTCATGCTCTCTATCTCATTCTCTCTCTCGCAAATAAATAAATAAAATCTTAAAAAAAAAAATTAAAAAAAAAAAAGCTTATTGGGTAAGGTAGAACAAGGTAATACGAGGCACAATTATGTGGCAAACAGGAATATAATCAAGTATTTTTATTTAAATATTTATTAAATATAATACATACCCAGAAATGTGCTTATAACATATATGGGGAGTTTTATAAGTAGTTAATAAAGCAAATATCTGTAATCATTTAAGCCTTTAAAACATTGAAGAGAGACCATTTACATTTCTCTCAGGCACTGGGAGAGTGTCATAGTTAAGAATGTGTTTAGGGGCGCCTGGGTGGCTCGGTCGTTAAGCGTCTGCCTTCCGCTCAGGTCATGATCCCAGGGTCCTGGGATCGAGCCCTGCGTTGGGCTCCTTGTTCGGCAGGAAGCCTGCTTCTCCCTCTCCCACTCCCCCTGCTTGTGTTCCCTCTCTCGCTGTCTCTCTCTCTGTCAAATAAATAAATAAAAATCTTTAAAAAAAAAAAATTGTTTCAGTTGGGCTCTGAATAGAATTTGGGAGGCAATAAGTAGAAGGGTGCTTTAGGCTTTGGGACAGCAAAGAGTAGCGCGGGGTGTATTTGGAGAACGGCATGTGCGCGACAGGATATAACAGGAGGCAGGCAGCAAAGGCATCTCAGAACAAATCGTGGAAAGCCAAAAATCTTCAGAATTTGGAGAATTGACTGAAAGAACACTTTCAGTCAGAGGAGTACCCATTTAAGAAGGATAATTCTAGTCGTTATGGAACATTAGGTGGAGAAGGGGAAGGTTGGAGGCAGACTGGTAATTTAACTACTTTTAAGTATAATTTAATGGCATCCAGTTAAAGTCACAGTATTGTCACATCATCAAATCGCATCTATTTCTAAAATTTTTATCACCCCAACAAACTCTATCCATTAAGCAGTATCTCTTTGTTCCCTCCTCCTCCGGTCTCTGTGAATTGGCTAATTCTAGGTATTTTATATGAGGGGAATCATACAATATTTGTCCTTTTGTGTCTGGCTTATTTCACTTAGCATGTTAGGCTAGTACCTTCTGCTTAGACAACTGTAAGAAAGTAGTGCGTAATAGAGATTTAATTTGTTTAAAGCAGGAGCAAACTGTAGCCCATTGGCTAAGAAGGATTTTTACATTTTTAAATGGTTGAAAAAAATTCAAAGAATATTTCATGACGTGGGAAAATTATGTAGAATCCAAATTTTAGCGTGCGTAAGTTTTACTGGAACACAGCTGTGCTTATTTGTTTATATTTTGTCTGTAGCTGCTTTTGTGCTCAGTGGTACAACGGAGTCGTGTGGTAGAGATTCTGTGGCCCGAAAGGCCTCAACTATTTACTATCTGGTCCTTTACAGGAAAAGTTTGTCTGTGTCTCCTGTAAATTGTGGATAAACAGAAATAAATAAGATTCTGTTTCTTGTCTTTTAAAAAGCTCATAGTCAAGAAAACTAGGGCAGAGAAAAGATGTTTAGTACTTAGTGAACTGATGTTTTCTGACAAAACAGTTACTCTGTGTGTGTGTGTGCACGCCAACACGCACATATACATGTGATGAATGCCTTTTTGTTGAATGACTCTCCTTCATTAAAAGAAAAAATTAAGAGAAACTGGTTCATAATGGAGTTGAGAACACATGAAAATTATCTAAATGTAATTATTTGAGACTTTCTCAGAAAATAAGACCTTAAAGGCTTATAGGAAGACTTCTAACTTGTAGCTTCTTTCCCTTTTAGTAATAATAGAAACCATATACTTCATTGCCTTTCAGATGCGGTGGTGCTAGGATATGTTATATTTTCCATGAGACTTTTGGGCGAACTTTAGAATCTGTTGACCCACTAGGTGGCCTTAACACTATTGACATTTTGACCGCCATTAGAAATGCTACTGTGAGTATGCTCAACTTCTAGAATTTTTTGAAAAGAGGTTAAAGGTTTATTATAATTTTTAACCCATTAGCTGTATCTTTTTAAACGAATTGTATTTTTGCTCTCGTACTTGATTATTAGGAAGCACTTTTCGTGAAAAATACCAAAAAACATGATTTATTTTAACCTAGGGAAGAATTAAAATTTTGTGTAGTTATAATAAGAGCTCAAAAACTTTTTTAGGGTCCTCGTCCTGCTTTATTTGTGCCTGAAGTTTCATTTGAGTTACTGGTCAAGCGGCAAATCAAACGTCTGGAAGAACCCAGCCTGCGTTGTGTGGAACTGGTTCATGAGGAAATGCAAAGGATCATTCAGCACTGTAGCAATTACAGTACACAGGTAACTGCGAAATGTCACACATGTCAGGTGAGATAGTACAAGACAGGAAGTGCTGGTTTCCTGGGGGGGGGAGGAAACATGGAAGATGGGCTAAAGGTAACTTAAAATCTGCATTTTCCCGATCGGAAAGTGATTTGAAGTAGTATGCTTAAATGTAGCTTAAAGTCTAATTCGCTGTTTTGGTGATTATTTAATTTTCCTTTAAACAAGGCAGACTGTTCTATTTTTCTTTCTTCCATCATATATAGGAGTTGTTGCGGTTTCCTAAACTTCATGATGCCATAGTTGAAGTAGTGACTTGTCTTCTTCGTAAACGGTTGCCTGTTACAAATGAAATGGTGAGCTGTTATTTTCACAAATGATCATTGTAACCACTGTTAAAGAAGTTTTTTTGTACAGCAATAGGAGTACGTTAGAGTTTAGGCATGTTTCCCAGTGTATTGGGAAGAAAAAGAAGTGAACCTCACTTATTTCAAAGGACACTTCGGTAATTCTGGCATAAAGTACATTTTTCTTCATATTTCAATCATTGTTAGCCTGCAGGCACAGGTTTTCATGAGATTGGAGTTACTGTTGGGGATTGTGAATAACTTTGCTCTACTATGTAGCACCACTGATCTAATGGAAAATTAGTTTTATCTTCAGCCCCAGTAAACTGAGCCTTTATAGCAAGCTATTTTAACTCTGGTACATCGGGGTCATTTGGCCACTTCTTGTTTGCTTATTTGATGACCCAATGCTGTAATATCATGGTTGCTTGCTACTATTTTGTGGGTTGCTGCTATCCTTAAAAATGCTGAAATTGGCAAAAATACGGGATGAGCATTTGAGATTGCTTTTATGTCTCTATTTGTTGGCTGAGTGTTTAGTTTCCCTTTCTGGTCACTAACAGTGCATTTGGGTCCTTGGCTCAGGGTGGTGCTGAGCCCCAGTGGAGGTTTACTAAGACTACAAAACCATCCCTGAAGTGTAGAATGTGAGCACTGCTCCTCGGGTGTTTCCCTAGCAAGCGTAACCCCCAGCCTGAAGGAGCAGGGATATAGTTAGCCTGATCTCAGAGTTAGTGATAGCACAGGATCATTGGAATTTCATTTGAAGAGATGCTTTTCACCTTGGTTCTTGACGTTTTAGTGCTCTCCTAATACCTGAGATTCGTTAGGACAGTGCAAATGAAGGAGTTAGTTTAATCTCTGCAGTGCTGGAGGAATTAATTTCAACTTTCTTTTTGGATTATTGTCCCATTAGGATTTCAAACCACATATAATATTTAAACTATGTGTCTAATTGAGGCTAATCAATCATTATCTCAGGTCTTTAAATGTGTCTTTTACTCAAATAAAGTTAACATCTTTTATATCTGATTATGAAATGTTTTCTTGTTGAAACTGAACTGAAACTTTGTGACATGGAATAGCAGATGATCTGAGATTTTAATAGCAAAATTACATAAAGCCTTGGAACTTAGATTTGCATCAGGGAATTTTTTTTCCCCCTAACAAAGTACTTCTGACTACCTTAAGGTTACTTCCTCACCTCCCCCTTTCGAAATGCAATCTTAGATGCTGAGATACAAATAATTCAAAAGATAGAGCAGATTATTATATGGCATAATATGCCATCAGTTGGAGTATAATTATTGAGTATTGATTTAGGCATCAGGGTCCCATAGTGTCTTTTTTAGAACTGTTTACTAAGTTTCATGTTTCCTAAAGCCTAATTTTATTCTTTTCTAGGTCCATAACTTAGTGGCAATTGAATTGGCTTATATCAACACAAAACATCCAGACTTTGCTGATGCTTGTGGGCTAATGAACAATAATATAGAGGTAAATACCATTTGAATTGGCACTTTTGAGAGGAAAAATCTGTTGTAAATCAGTTGTATCAAATTTACTGAGCATGGGATAATGATAAAACACACATGGACCACATTATTGTATCGTTACATCCCCGGAAGTATGCTGAGGGCATTACATTGTTATGTTAAATCTAATTCCCAGAACCACCTGGCAGCATCATTCTAAGTTTCTGTTTACACGACTGCAAGTCAGAGGGGATCTGGGATGCACTGATTTAGTGTGGACTGCCTGCTCCCTTTCAGTAACTGGTGTAGTTTATTCAGGTTCAAGAGTGGAAAACTGAGTGTTTAAAATTGTTTTCATTTGGCTCTGAAAGCTGGGAAGGACATTCCAAGATTTACCTAAATAGTAAATTTTCACCAGTACTGGGTGGCTGCATTTCATGGCTCTTTTTTTTTCCATTTGAGGTGAATGTTGCAAGTTGTGTAAGCTCTCACATGGAGACAAGGCTGGTGGATAAAGCAATTTATCCAGATGCTACTTTTGTTCTCAGCTACTTTTATCCAAGAACAGTAAATTTTTCTGCTACTCCTTAATCCAGTAAGACCTTGGAGTCCCCTTCTTTATAAAATTTCCTTTTATGCATATGGGTAGGGAGAAAATTGCAAACATGGAATTTGGGAACTGGACGGGACCCTGGGTCATCAGCTTCAGTCCTTTGGTTAAACAGATGAGGAATCTGAGGCCCACAGATGGTAACAGTGTTATTTTAGTGCTTATTTTGCTGGCACTGTTGGAGGAAACAAGCATTTTCTCTTTAACAGGTACAGGGAACTATTTTTTTAGCTGCTTAGCTGAGGTGACTCAGTGTCAGAAAAAAAATTTCAAAGCGGACACGAACGAGTAAGGCATGTTAAGGCACTTTAAAGCACTTGGAAAGTGCACTAGAAAAGTTATGTTAAAAATGAGTGTGTAGACACTGTCTTAGAATAAGGGTTTGGTTCTTTTTTTTTTTTTTTTTTTAAGATTTTATTTATTTATTTGACAGAGATAGCGAGAGCAGGAACACTAGCAGGGGGAGTGGGAGAGGGAGAAGCAGGCTTCCTGCCGAGCAGGGAGCCTGATGTGGGGCTCGATCCCAGGACCCCGGGATCATGACCTGAGCTGAAGGCAGATGCTTAACGACTGAGCCACCCAGGTGCCCCTGAAACCAGTTTTCAATGGAAAACTGATGTATGGAAGTTTTTGTAATACTGACAAGGTTATTTATGATATGAGTTCAGCTAAGTTTGGTTTTTTAAACAAATGAGCATGTCGTTTTTAACGATTTCATGGCAAAGAACTTAACTTGGATATTCTCATTAAATCTTTACAACCACCTTTTGAGGGTAGAAAATGTTAACAGGCTACAAAACTGAGGGCTTAGGAAGGGTTGGTAACCTGTCCAGTTAACAAAGTTAAATAAGCCAGGACTGGTGTCCAGGCCAGCTAAGGTCATAACTGGCTGGTAACAGACTAGGATGAGAATTTCTGGGCTCCACATTCTCCTGCCTTTTGCTTCGTGTCCCTCTTCAAAATGTACATTTTAATTATTCTGAAGATTGTTAAAATCCACATATTTTTATCATCTGCTATATTTTTTGTATCACTGGATTCCCTCATGAAAAAAATGAAAATTAGTCAAGTATCTGTCAAAAGAAAGTCTTACCCGTGAAAGATCACTGTGGAAACTTGGTTAACATCTTTTTTTGCAGGTTTGAGAGTGCTCATGAAATGGTTTCTCCTTAGGAGCAGTTTTGACTTTATTTAACCTAAATGCTTTCCTGTGTCTTTGTCACTGCCTGTGAGGGAGCCGGAAACACCCCCCTTTCTCTGTTTTCACTCCTGCCCCTCTCGTGGTCCTTGACATACAGTAGGTGTTCACTACCTGCTGATTTGAATTTAACACAGTTTCTCAAGCTTTGTACCAGAGTTACCTTGTAATACTGGCCAATTCAAAGAGTGGGCGGTCAGTCAGTCAATTACATTAGGTTACAGAAAGGACTGTTTCACCACAACATTTATTTCTGGGAGATAGTTTAGGATAAAGAAAATGGAACGTCCTTAAAGGATAACCTCTCTCCACCACAGGTATTTAGGGTTCTGTGTGTGGGAGTTGTGTGAATTTCACACACGGGTGTGCAGGTTAGAGTGATGTTTAAAGGCTTAAGTCTTCCATCATCTGTGCACTTAAGATTCCACACGGTGAGCTGGAGGGTTGTGCACACGTTTACGTGGGGACAGTTTACATCATGGACTCCCAGCGGGAAAGGCAGAGATGTCAGCCCATCGCCTCTCAAGGGAGCCACTGTTACTGACGTCATATTGTATCCTTCAGGTGTGTTGGGCAGAAAAAAAGATTGAGAAGCATTGGGTTAAATGATTTCTTGTTTTAAAATAAAATTGTGACATGAGTCCCAGCAGTGAGAGGATATACTGTAAGTTATTCCACACTTTTCGATTCAGCTGAACATTTTTTAGTAGGCTTCTTTCTCAGTGCTCTGATAATCACTGGGGTTTTGTTTGGTTGTGTTTTATAGGAACAAAGGAGAAACAGGCTAGCAAGAGAATTACCTTCAGCTGTATCACGAGACAAGGTAAAAAACGAGTATTTTAAAATCATATTCCCAATATGCAAACGATTGGTAAGCCTTAATACTACTCAGTTCTAGGAGTAGTCGTCTTTTCTTCTTCTCCCTTTACTATTTCATTGGAACTATTTCATTGTTTGAGTAAAGGTATGCAAGTTCAAAAAGAGGTTGAGTAATTTAAAGATAATGGTATCTTGAATACATTAGAAAAAATGCTTTAAGGTGGATTTTTAAGTACCAAGCTTTTATTTTTTTTTTCAAGATTTATTTTAGAGAGACGGAAGGGAGGGAGAGACAGACTCTCAAGCAGACTCCATGCTGAGCACAGAGCCCCACACAGGGCTTGATCTCAGGACCTGAGATCATGACCTGAGCTGAAACCAGAATAAGAGGCTTAACTGACTGAGCCACCCTAAGTATCGAGCTTTTAAAACAAAGTTTATGGTGACTTTATCAACTTTGTAAAATCAGTTGAAATGACCAATGAATTTACTATAACACAAAGGTATTTTGGAGAGGGAAGATAATATGTACATTAATAGGTTTTAGTTTTCTATAATGGTTACATAGATTAAAATGCATGTAAACAAATTCTTGAATTTGAATTCTTTACCAGAAAAGACCTTACCAGATTCTAGAAATAAAAATAAAGTTTTTGAATTTGGATTTTTCTTAGTTACTCATCTGAAGAAGGCTTGTAACAAAGATGACAATAGTACAAGAAATAGGGAAGAATAAACAATTTTATATCCCATGGTTGCTTTTGTTTCTCATGTTACTTTACTATTTTGATACAGAGAAGAGAAATTTACACTTAATAGAATGTTTCTGAATGCATTTTTGGCATCCTTGATTTTCTTTCCCTGCATCTTTTGCCTTTAGTCTTATAAAG